AAGCAATGAGCATGAAACTGAGCAAACTCAGGGAGCCAGTGAAGGACAGGAAGGCCTGGCATGATATGGTTCATGGGGTCACGAAGAATCGGACATGACTTAACGACTGAAGAACAACAACAAATCATCCGCGGTCTCACCACCACCACCAGCATATCCGCCTCCCCACCCAACCTGGATCAGGACCATGTGGACTTTCTCCACGCTCCTTAAAATCCTCAGGATCGGCCACTCGTGATGTATGAGACTCTAGGCATGCTCTGTCCCCAAGCTGCACAGGTGAGGTTAACAGCAGCTGCAGGCAGCTGAAGAGAACAATGGAAACCACAGATGTGCAGGTCAATACAGGGTGCCAGAAGGAGAAGGAAAAATGGTGCTATAAAGGCTGAAAAAGAGCAGAGATGAAGGAAAGAAATCATTCCTGGAACCAACCCATTATTACCACTACTGTTGTTTCTGATCCACTCCTTCTTTCAGATGTAATCTCTGACACACGCATCGACAGATCTACCTGAGTCATGCATTGCTCTAAGCTGTGGTGTGTTCAGCCAAGGCTTTTGGCAAAAAACCACAGTTCACAGGTTTGCATCACAAGCTGCATCGTAAGTTTACAAACTGCCACGGCTGCGTTCATACAACCGACAGGCCAACACCCAACTGATCACCCAAGGGCTCCCCAGCATGTGTGAACCCCGCTATGCTGACATCCCGTTGAACTTTCCCTTCACACAGAACTGCGTGCTGAAGAAGATGTTCCTCTATAAAAATCCAAGCAACTTTTTTTTTCTTGGCATGAAACAGATCTAACCAGGGCACCATTTCAAAGGAATTTTGCAAGATAGGTGTGGTTGTGTTCGGAGCAGGAGATTCTTAGCAAGGATTAAATGCCCCTTTGCAGCTGTTGCTCGGACTGATTTCCAGAAGCAAGAGCGTTTCTTGAGTCTGCCGCCGTTTCAACCCCAACAATGTCTTCAAGCACCAACCAGATTATCATCTTTTGTTTTTAGTCCTTCGAGCAGATTTCTCCCTCTCGCTGCGTGCCTAAAACACGGTTCTGCTGCACTGTTTCCACAACAGCGCGCATGATCTAGAACAAAGCATGGGTGCACAGAAGCTTCCCTCCCCTTTTATAACGAAGGGCACATTTGCCCATAAGCAACCGCAGTCAAGAACCCAACCCTCAGAATCGTTAGGAGTCCATCCTAAAGACAAAGTTCCAACCTCAGCTCAACAATTAAACAAGAACTCAGGCGAATTCTTCTTCCTTACTTAGCCTACCTCAAAAGGTGGTGGTACACAACATATCCTGAGCGTCTTTTTTGACGAGGGTGGGAGATAATGCCATAAAATAGAAAATACAAAACTTGGCCAAAAAAAATCTTCATGGACCGACCCGTGCTCCGGTTGAATCTATGGAGAAGATTCTGAATCCAACCCACGTCGCCGACCCTGGCTGGAAACTCATCCCGTTTCTTTGCCCAAGCAAGGGTTTTGCCAGAGAGCAAAATGAGGGTCCAGTGATTTCTGCCCTGCTCTTAAAATGCAGAAATTATGGGTGCCCGCTGTCTGGCACCAGCTTCCCCATCCTCCCTGTCTCTGGTAAGAGCGGTCCTCCAGCGCCAGCTGCGGAACAGCCCCAGAAGGAAGACACGTTTCTCTCCTTGGCTCCCTCCCCACCGGACACACGCATTTTCCCAACTTGCTTCTAACTGCTGGGGGCAAAGGGAAGCGATTCTGAAGGGAGAGAAAAACGCCGCTGGGATCCTGCGCGAGAGGAGGGTGGCCTGCCCAGAGCGGGGAGCTCCGAGGGAGGGGAAGATCGTCGGCTTGGTCTGGGGTCTGAGAAGCGCCCGGCAGGTGTCCCGCGCTGGCACCAGCGCCTTGGCAGAAAGACCCGCAGCGGGCGCAGTCGGGCCACAGCCACGCACGCTGCGCCGCGCAGCCTCTCGCCTGCTCCTTGGGGAGCAACCCCTCGGATGCAGGAGACCCCCGTTCAGGATTATGCAGCAGTCACCTTGGCGTCAGCAAGAGAAGGAAGCACATGCTTTTAAATCGGCAGAAATCCCAAGTCCCTCACTGGGGCTGGGGGCGCGCACACACGCACACGCACCGCAGGGAAAAGCACATGCCTTCCGAAACGGCTCCCGCTTACCGTTCAGAAAGCTTTTAACCCTTGCTGGGCTGGTGCAAAAGGGTCTATCCGACTCACATTTCGTCTAATCAAGCCAACCTCTCCCCCTCTCCCCTCCCCAAAACTCCGATTTCACAAGGGATGCCTCGAGGCGAAATACCTGGCTGACGGCCAACCGAGGTGGCGGAAACCTCCTAGGCCCCAGCTCCCCGCAGGACGGGGTCATCTCTGGGAAAGGCAGCCCCCTCCACCACCCACTTCCCCCTTTTCTTCCTACCTTGTCAATTTCACTTGATCTAGGCTTCGGTTCCCCGAAGAATCACGTGGGAATGACGCGACCCCCCGGCGGCTGCCCTCTAGCCAAGACCGGGGCCGTCCTACGGGATCATGCGGGCGTCCTCCCCTCTGCGCTGCCCACTGGATCCCTCTTCGCGCTCGGTCCGGCTTGCAAGTTCCTGCTCGGTGGGGAAAATGAGGCTGAAGCTGTCAGACGGCGGGGGAAATGCAGGGGCTTCCACGGCGCGCCCGGCGCCCCCTGGCGGCCCTCGCCGGCAAGGACGCCCTGGGAATCTTTGGGAAACCCCAGACGGGTCCCCGCAGGTGTTCCGTGATCCGTTTTGGCTGACCCGAAAGATATCCCACCCGAAAGATCGCTTCCTCGGCTTAGGAATTATGATTGCGTTAAACCAGTGTGGTGAGTTTTGTTATCAATAGAAGAGAACCTCAGTAGCTCAGGGCTGAACTGGGGAGTCCTTGGGGATCTCTGAGCCTGCTGGTTTCCTTGCAGACATTTCATTACCTATCTGGGTAGCATCATCAGCGCATCATCACTAACCATCAACAGGCACTGATGATGTTCCCTAGTCGGGTAACAAAACGTCTGCAAGAAAACCACCAAGCTCAGAGAACACCAAAGACTCTACAGCTGTGGAGTCCTTGGGGCTCTCTGAGCTTGGTTCTTTTCTTGCAAATGTTTCATTACCCGGCTAGGTAATATCTTCAGTGCTAAAATGGGATGGGGTTGGCTCTCTGTTTATGTGCTGTGGCCTGCCTTACCAGTGCTGGTGGGGTGGGGATTCTGTTTTGCTCCTCTGGTCGTTCTTTGATTGGCATGTGTTTGCTACTTGATGGTGTGCCTGGTGGTGACCTTTGCTTATCTGGATAATGATTGCTGGTGATGATATTCAAAAGAGACAAAAGACAAAAAACCAGAAGATCGCCTCACCAGCAATCGATCGCAAAACAAAACCCCCACCCCACCAGCACTGGCAAGCCAGACCACAGCAGATAAATAGAGAGCAAACCCTATCCCATTTTAGCACTGAAGATGTTACCTAGGCGGACAATGAAACATTTGCAAGAAAAGAACCAAGCTCAGAGAACCCCAAGGGCTCCACACTTCAACTCTGAGCTACACATATTCACCTCTATTGGTGCTCTACAGTTGTATTATCATTTACTCAATCACTATCCTGCCTTTCATCCAACTGTTCAAGCTGCATACGTAACACTGCTTCCTCCAGTTGTTTTCCCACAACCACAACCCAGGGATCTAGGTTGGGCTGACAAAGGGAGAGTCTGGTCTATAGTTACCCGAGGAGCTGCTGTGTCGATGGTGAATTTGAACCTAGGTCTTCCTGGCCCTAGTCCACGCTTTAACCGCTGCATCGGATTTCTTAGGCTTTTCAACTGCAGATTTACCATGTTTTATACTCTCCCTTGAGGAAACGCTGAAATCAAATAAGTCAGTGTTTCTCAACCTTGGCAACTTGAAGCAGTGTGGGCTTCAACTCCCAGAATTCCCCAGCCAGCAAACACTGGGAATCTCCCAGTCCTGTGGGGGAGACCCACACAGACGTCATTTTTCAGTACTTAAATTTGCAATAGGCATATGTGGTACTTCCTATGCATCATCCTGTTTCCATCTCCTTCTCTTCTTTTATGTTTCTCAAGTGTCCCATGTTAGGCTAGAACCTTCTTGAACTGAGATTGGGTGATAGATTCTTAGTAAGCACCATTAACCCTGGTGGCACTATATTAATGCTGAAAATAACCCTGAGCTTCTTTGGTAGATGTAATTGGGGCATCTCGGGAAGAGTCCTACAGGAGAAGGGAGAAAGGGCTTTTTTTTCTCTTTTGCAGCAAAGAAAGAAAATAATATGTGCCACAGGCATTTCTGTACCCGAGGTAGCTGGAAAGGTTATCGTGGTAGCTTCTCTGTACGAGACCACCAAAGGCAGTGAGACAAAAAGTTGGCTTCTACTTAGTCTGACTCTTGGTCCCTCTAGCCTAATATTGCTTATATTTGGTTCATACAACCCAGGACTATAAAAGTTGGCTCACAGGCTTGATAGGGAAGGGGGTTATACAAATATCCAGCTAAACATTGCTAAAGTTACTTGCGAGAAACCTGCTTGGGAAAATAATGACTTCTGGTTTAAGCTGAGGCCAAAGAACCTGACAAGTATCGTCTGCCCTTGGTCCATCTCCTTGGTTCAACTAACTCACTACTGTCAGCTCTGACTCACTGCCCAGGATCAGAAGAGGTATTTCCCGTGCACACCTGGAGATGTCAGGGATTAGTCTGATTCTGTCTCTAAAGCAGATGTCTCCAATCATGGAATTATTGACTGCAACTGTGTAGCTTCACACAGGAGTAGGCAATCTTAATCTTTTCCCCAACATGCCCTCAGAAGACAGGAAGAACATTACTTATATCCTGGACAATAAGTAATCAAAGTGACAGCGTCTATATGATGTAGGCTGAGTAAGATTTGGTTAGTCCTTAGAGATAAGACCTCCAAGATACCCCCAAGGACTTCTTTTG